AGGGGTTGGTCCCTGAATACTGCATACTGTGTTTTGACTTTCAGCTCTCTGGCGAATGCTGGTTTCCAGCATGCTGTCAGGTAGCTACTGAGGAGAAGGAAGTAGTAGCATGTTGCTCTGCAATAGGCTAATTGGGAAAGAGCACAAATTCCCTCTTAGGATCCCCATGGCCCGATCACCAAGCAGGGGGACATCTTCAGAACTACAGCTGGACAGGAGAGGCTGGGCCTGCAGATGTGTGGTGGGGGAAGATCCTTGTGTTGGATCTGAATCCTCTGGTTCTTTTGTAAACATCCCCAGAGCATGTCCTGCAAGCTTATTCTCTTGTGAGAGATGCCTGGCTCACCAGTCCTGGGATTAGCACATTTTCTGCATCTGATTGGATCAGCAGTTATAAAGCCAAGAGTAATCAAGAGCCTTCCTCTTTCAAGTTGTCACCTTGGGAGGCTATGTACATTGCTCATTGGGCATTTTTCTTTCAACTGTGTACTTAGTTTGTCAGATGTTCTTATTATTGACAAATCTAAATCTTTAGAAGAATGAAGTGTCCAACTAAATATTTAGAAATAAGTCATCTGAGTCCAGTTAGCAGATGGCAAGGGTAGGTGATCTAGCCATTAGTTCCATTTTGGGTTATGAGATCTCACGTGATCTATCTGTAGGTTCTTAAAACATTTTTTGAAGCAATATTTCAAAACTATTTTGATTGTGAGAGTTATTGAAGTTCTAGATGTGCCTCTTTGAGGACACATGTTTAAGTGTACACATTCTGGCGATGTATTTTGTAAAGACATATTGTTCTCAAGTGTTGAGACTATTATATTATTTCAGAATAACCTGAATCACCACTGGAGGCTTGCTAGGACCAGAGAGTAACCCATACAAAATGAAACTGTTTGAAAAGAAATCTGCTGCTGGATGGCATCAGAGATAGAAAGATCTGTACTGGAATTGCTTTTCAAGTTAACCTTGTCCTAGGCTGCAGGTTCTTTTTCTGCAAGAAAAGGAATAACAGTAATGATGATGTCCACATCATAGGGTTGTGGTAAAGTTTTAAAAGTGGTATTGTATATGAAGCACAAATCACAGTGCCTTGTATATATATAGTGTTCAATAAACATTAGCCATTTGTATCATGCTTCTGTGGTGTGATAGATTGCCTCAGTGAGAGGAAGAATGGAAAAATAGAGGGGGACAGGGTGCTTTTTAGGAAACAAAAATGTATTGATAATAGAACAGGACTGGCCTCTCTTTGGTTTTAAAATTCCCAAACATGTTTTGTTGTACCCTAGTTATATTTACTGTAACCCAGATATATGTCATGAATGACATGAGCAATATTTTGATTTTCATCCATCCCTAAAACAGAGTTTTAGGTCTTTCTGGAGATTCTGATTATATTCCAAAGAAACAAAAAAGAAAACAATGTACTGATAATTCAAACCTCTCACAAAATATATGATGTTGAGGGTTTAGATATCAGCTGTAAAAAACCCAGTTGTATTATGCTCCCATGCAGCATGATTTTTGTACTTTAAAAAAATGCAAATTTTATGTTTCTTTTTAAACAGATGAAGATGAAGATGGTGATAGAATTACTGTGAGAAGTGATGAAGAAATGAAGGCAATGCTGTCATATGTAAGTACATTACAAATGAGGACTATTTTAAAAAATGTTAATGTAATTGAGGATGCTGTTTTTTGGGCATGGGGGAAGACATGCAAGTAATCACAATTGCCATAACATTTTCTATATAATAGATATGGTTTTCAAAGATTTCCTTATGTGAAAGTTAAGGGCATTTCTTTGAAAAGAGACTTACTGATCATATGAACATTAAGAATAATGCATCTTAATGACTTTTGCATTAGGTATGGTGCAGACTAAATGGACTATCAATTTCCTGTATTTTTTATGCAGTACTTAAAGTAACGGCTCATTAAAAATGAACCCCTGGGCTCTAAAAATTTTTCAAAATCTACTTTCAACTGGAGATCTCTTTTACCCTTCCAGACTATAGTTATAATGTAGCTGCAGGCTTAATATGTAGACAGGATTTAAAGATGTACTCTCAGTTGTTTTCTACCCATCTTTTACCCATACCCCAAAATGAACTAGAGGGTCACTCTCTGATTCAAAGTGATTTGAATATATCTGGGAAAGACTTTGCTTTTATATTTCAAATTCTAGTGAAAATTTGCATTAACAGCTGTCTGGGACTGAAGTAAACAAGAGAAAAGGGTACATTTCCAAAGCTTTAATACTAAGCTTGAAAAATTCAGCAATGATGAAGAGACATAGCTTCCCTGACCCCTGATTTGAGCTTTCATCTCAATTTTCTTTTATTTTGTCAGAGTTTATAATCTGTTTACAAAACCTTTTTCAGTGGTCTGGTAGAAAGAGCATTGGAGTAGAAGTAGGAGACCACAGCTCTGCTCTGGCTTCTTGGCCATAGGCAGATCACTTAACCTTTCATTTGCTATGGATGCCTCATCTGTCAATTGTGGATAATAATTACTTGTCCTTTCCTACTGAACAGGGTCGTTGTAATGACCAAAAGGGATGGTAGATGTGAAAGCCCTTTGAAAAGTTAAAAGTTCTATACAAATGCAAGGTGGTATTATGGTAGAATCAGGGCCCTTGCTTTTCATGGAGACTCTAATCACAGCCAGTGGTTAGCTTGTAGGCTTTTGATAGACTTCTGCTTCAACCAGGATATTGTTTCATTGTAATGAAAACTGTAAACTATCTATATGGGGTTTCCACCAGTAGTTTTAATTTAGGGTAGGAGGGAAGAGAACAAGAAGGGTGGCATGATTAACAGAGCATTGCATTCCAACCAGCGCAGGGTAGGAAAAGTCAATTTCCCATTGACTTCCCATTAACTTCTGTGGGAGTCTTTGTGTACTGAGAATTTAGAGCTGAACTCATCAGTACGTGAAAGGCAGAGCAGAGTTGTCTTCAGAAAGGTCTAGCACAAGTATTTATGGATTAGCCAACTCCCCTCGGAATGTGACATGCTTATTTTTAGAAAACAGACATGCACAGGGGTTCTGGTTTTCTCACCTATGTCTATTGCAGAGAATTAACTTGAGTATACTTTCATTGTGTACATAAATGATACATACTTTTCAGCAGTACTGAGTATAGTCATAGTGATAATAATCATTTTCATTCTGAGTACATGCTATATACTAAATGCTTAAATTATTCTATCTTTTTAAAGTTTTTTTTTGGTACCGGGGATTGAACTCTGGTCCTTGCACTTGTGCAGCAGGAGGCAAAACCACTGAGCTAAATCCCCAGGCCCTCTTTTTTAAGTTTTGATAATCATTGTGAAATGGATATTATGATCCCTGTTTTTTTTTTTTTTTTTGGTACTGGGGAATCGAACTCAGGTCCTTGCACTTGCACAGCAGGAGGCGAAACCACTGAGCTAAATCCCTGGCCCTGCTCCCTGTTTTTAAATGAGGAAGCTGTGGTTAAAAAGACATGTTTATGGCCTGTAGTCCCAGCTATTCAAGAGGCTGAGGCAGGAGGATTTCAGGTTTGAGACCAGCCGGGCAACTTAGTGATATTTTACTTTGTCAGCAGAGAGAGACCCACCCAAAGTCTTAGAGCTGTTACCAAATGGGGGGTGTTGGGGGCTTCTGTACAGATCCACGTGACCTGAATAAAGAATTGGACAAGATATAAAGAAAAGGCAGCGAAGGAGTAGATTTATTGAAGGGGGAGGAGGAGTACATTCTGTAGGGTTAGAGGGGTGATGAAAAGGCTCACAGTGTCCTAAGGATAAAGGGGGTCTTTGGCATGCAAAATACCTGGATTGGTCTCTACCTTATGCAAATATGGCATTTGCCCTATCAAAACTCACTGGCCTCGCACCAGATGTAAATTGTCCTATAAAAAACTTGCTTGACCTCTTGCCAGATATAAATGAAGGCTGGGAAATTGTGTCCTTTGACTGGTCCCACCCATATTAAATGAAGGATTGTGATTATTGCTGTCCGATTGGTTCCCTGTACAGTGCATGGGAGCCCTAAGCCTGGAGTCATTTTGGGTCCAGGGTTGTGTGCATGTCTTCTTTCTTTTGGAAATATCTCACCCAACCTATTAGCCATGGGTTCTTATGACTTGTGACACATTTCATCCAGTTGATTGTCTGGTTTTCCTCAGCTCTAATCTCCTACCTTAGAACTATTTGAAAATATGGAGCCAGGCCTGGTGGTACAGGCCTGTAATTTTAGTACTTGGTAGGCTGGGGCAGGAGGATCCCCATGTTGGAGGCCAGCATGGGCTACATAGTTAGTTCAAGGCCAGCCTGAAGTACATGGTGAGACCCTGTCTCAAAAAAACAAAAACAAACAAAAAAAGAACATATGGATTTTAAATTCAGTGTCTTCTTATTCTGTAGCCTGTGCTCATTCACGGTTTCATTCAGTTTCTCTTCTATCCACTGCCTTGCAAATTTGTACTGGGAAATTTTTATGTCATCACCATTATTAAATTCTGAATGATTTGTTCTTATATAATACCTTAATTGTTATATCTGTACCATATATTCATTGTAACTTATTTTTTCAAATGTAGCATTTAGTTATTTTGTTATAGAAAAATACTGTCATGATTACGTAACCTTACATTACATATCCTTAAACTTAAAGGTCCTCAAGATTTCCTGAGAGGTACCCTTTAGTCTGAAAAGAGATTATCCCCTAATGTTTGGATTTTATAATGAACTCATTTTAGATTGGGGGATATAGGTATAGTAACTTTTAATTTTGCCATACGCAAACATTCACAAAATAAGTAAACTAATACAAATCATCCATTGCCATTATTTTATCAAGAAAAATAGTAGTAGTAATTTAAAGAGTAAAATTGTGCAGGGTGTAGTCTCAAAAATTAAGACCACTATTTCTTTAAAGTGAATATTAGTTTTTGTAAAACTCAAGACATTATTCTTGGCCTTTCTTAATTTGCTGTGGATGTAATATACATAGTTCAGTTGAGGCTCTGGGCTACTCCCCTCCACTAACCTGAGCCTGGACAACACCACGCCGACCTTTGTCCTAAGGCCTATTACATAGAGGCAGAAATAAGAAATACAAAGACCCCATGGAAAATTCTGAAGCCCCAAATCGAGACCCATGTATGTCAGATCTTCCTGCATGATCTTTCTGTACTTGAAGCTCAGTGAAGGTTCATGAATATGAGCTGCATCTCCCACATCCAATTATAACAGAGTGAATTATGGGAAAGGACATGCACAGTAGACCCAGCTGACCTGACTCAGCACCCTGTCAATCATGTAGTCAGTCATGCTCTGGGAGCCCCAGTGAGAGGCCCCTAGACCCCGTGCAATATTTAAAATTCCTACACCCACTGCCTTCAGCACTTGTGTTGTTTTCCTTTCCACTGGCACGAGCGCACTCACTGAGTATACCATCACCTAACTAAAGTTCATTAATCTTTGCTGCTTTTTCCTTACTATCACGTACTACATCCATTTATTTCTTCCTCATGAGCAAGAACCTAGAAACCTGTCCAGGATCCCATCTCCATGGCAACAAATGGATGAAAACTTTTTTTATGACTTGGTACTGGGCCATGGATTGTGGTCTGGCTGATTGGGTCCAGGTTTTCTCTAAATTCATCTAACAAAAATTTATAGATGGAATGTCAGCACCCCGCAGCCCTCCACCCATGCCAGTTTTAACCTGCTTAAAGTAGAGCTCTGCCTTTCTGACACTGAATGTTTCAGCAAAATATTTTGAAGTGAAAATGAAAATATCTCTGAGAGATGATGCTTTAGGTCATTTGAACCTTGAATGGATTTCCTTTTCCTCCTGTCTCTTGCTGTTGCCCTTTGTTTATGTAGAGTCAAGCTCTCAATATTTAAAAAGGTAAAGAGTAGTTCACAAAAAAGCACAAACAAGATCGGTTGACTGTCATTTCCATCTGTGTTGGTCTTTAGGGTTGGAAATTCCTCTTGGGCCCAATTTTGTCACAGAGAACCATTTGGATCTAATTTCACAATAGATTTTGGTGGGTAGTCCTCATAACTACCAGCTTATTACTAAAAATTTCCATTGGTCTTATTTGTTAGCTTCAATTTAGTTCTGAAAATGTTTGATTCCAGGATTTGGTGTAGTGACACAGGGGAGATACTGACAGAGGATCACAATTTTATTGTGAAAACAAAACAAAACAGCTTAGTGTTTCATATAGAATTCAGTAAAATTGTGGCCGTCTTAGTATTTAAGAGCCACGTAGAGGGAAGCAAAAGCAGAGACTTTGTTACCACTGGCCCTTTAATCGTTCTTTTCCATTGATTATAAAGGTTGAATGAATAAATAGCCTAGGTCTCTGCATAAGAATAAAAGAATTGCAACATCTGAGTTGAAACTTGCAGAATTACCTTTCTCCTCCCTTGGATGCAAGCATTTTTTGGCTTTGGGCCAACCTAAGTGTAAGTTTTTATCAGTAATTTAAATAGATTTTTGTATTAGACTTGAAAATGTTTCCTTTTTAATTGAAAACTTATCAATTATTTAAATCGCTTGCAGCCTGAGGCTGTTAATTTTATGAGCACCATAGTAATGGCATACAGTGGTTTTTGATACATGTGACATGTG